AGGCCATGCCCAAGGGGCAGGTACTTCAATGTCATAGGTAGATAGGACAGTTACCTGCTACATCTCTAGGGATGGTGCTTCAAGGTCATAGATAGGACAGATATCCACTACAAGTACTCTTTGTCACAATCTGAGACACCAGCTGATGGAACAATGCCACCCAGAGTTAAGGTGGGTTTTCCAATTCAATGGTCCCAATCCTCATAGGCATTTCATAGGCTAATTTATCTAGCTCACCCCTCACAGGCATACTCATAATCTTATCTCATATAATTCTAGATTTTGTCGGGTTGGCAATTAACCATCCCTTATCAACTTGACACTCTAACATGTCATATTTAAGTCATAACTATCTGTTTTAATAGGCTCATGGCTATTTCATGTTACAAAATACATTCAGTTCAACATCAATACTTTCCATAGTCTTTTAGATTTCCAAGATAGTTTAAATAAAGTCCAGTTCACTTCTCAGACTAAAGGCAATTCCAAAATGTGAGCTCCTATATAATAAAACAACAATAATAATTAATTACATAGTTCCAATGCTTTCTGTATTCTATGTGACCAAATTCCTCAAGCTCCTGCTACCATGATGGACCACACCCTATGAAGAAAAATAAACTCCCTTTTTCTTAATTTGTTTTTACCAGGGTATTTTTTATTACAGAAAAGGGAAATGTAACTATTACAGAGAAATTGGGGTGGGGACTAGCTATGCAGCCCATGTTGGCCTCAAATTCATGAACATTTCATTTCAGTTTCAAGAATGTTTGAACAATGGGTTTTTTTAAAAACATATTATGGAGTCCAGCTGCTTCTTTAGACTTCGTTCAAAATTTATGTTAGCTTTGCTCAAAGTAAGCAATTGAGTACCATCTTGAGTATTCTTAGACCTTCTCCCAAGCTTTGGATAATGACCACAATCTTTTAGGTCAATACAATTTAGAACTTGGAATATTTACTAAATTGCAGCATCTGAATTTGTAAATTAATTTCCTTCATCTGGGAGACATGAGTATACACACCAATGTTCATTTCCTTGTAAAGAAATTAGATATATAAGAAAATTTGCCTCCTTTTGTTAATGTTTAAAGAAGGAAAAAAGAAATGAGGCCACTTTATGGACCACTGTATTAATCAGTTTGACCAAAAAAATGTAATTAGGTAATTTTCAGTAATTTAATGAATTTTTATTTAAATCATAAATTATTTTAAGTGAGTTAGTACGTTCAAAATTATTATTTTAAATATGGTAATTGTTCACCTTGTTTAACTAAGTTAGTCATAATTTTAGAAAGGTGTTTCAGAGTGAAGAATTTTAGAAATAATAATTAGATCGATATACAACAATAAAATCCCTCAGTGTCTCTTAGTAAACAACATGAAGGGTAGAAACTAAGTAAGTTGAAGCAGCATTTTTTTTAATGCTTGAGATACTTACCTTTCACAAAAAACCTTAGATTGTGCTTTTAATTGGTTTTGTGTAGATATTTATATAATTTATAGATACCATTGGTTCTTTAAAAATTACTATTTCAAGTGGCAAAGATTCTGGTATCCTGTCTTAGTAAGAATTTTTCTATGATTATAGGCTAATAACATCAACATTTGGCAGAGACACCCTGTGTGGGTCATGCTATTTGTTGACCTAGACTGGTGAACTTTTAGAATTTAATGGCTCTGATCACTGTGTTGACTATATCTTCTAAATTAAGATAAAATATAGAAAGCATATCAATCTGTCTTTTTAATGAAGTTAAAGTAAATTTAGGAAGCATGATTAAGACTAATTTACTATTGTTGACTCCTCAGTTAAGACTTCTGTTGAAATAAAAATTTAACTTAGTAGGTTTAGATCAGTACAGAAAATCATGTTAGGATTCCACAGCCGAGTGTTCTTGGTATATTTTTTATTTATATTTTTATTTTTAATTTTTATTTATTTTTTTTTGATTTTTCGAGATAGGGTTTCTCTATGTAGCTTTGCGCCTTCCTGGAACTCACTTTGGAGACCAGGCTGGCCTTGAACTCACAAAGATCCGCCTGCCTCTGCCTCCTGAGTGCTGGGATTAAAAGCGTGTGCCACCACTGCCCGGCCTGGTATATTTTTTAATTTAAGTATATTATATTGATATTTGATAAGCACAATTTGATTTTCCATACATAAGATGTCAAACTAAATAATTTTTTATTACACAGTAAAGTTTTCTGACTAGTTATGCTATGGCATTACAATAATGAAATGGCTTATTTTCATTGTACTTTTCTTTTTCCTTCAGTCATTATTTTTTGCCATACTAAAGACTCAATATTTGGGACATTAAAGACATTGTTTTGTATGGTAATTTTGTATACTATGTGTGTTTAGCAGTTTCAAAAATAGTTGTTGACATTATATAAGAATGATTATTATATATTATTCATACATTAGAAACTGCTAGAGAAAAAATTTGATTTTAATTATCAATAACTATAATCTCATATTTATCCAGATACAAATATAAGATATTTAGGTAGCTTTTCATACAATGTTAAATTGATATTTGCATTAATAAATTATTGAATAATAATTAGATGAAGGTGATCTTTCAGATTCATTTGCCTGAGTAGAGAATTTCTCCATCATCATAAATTAAAACATATTAGTGTAAATTTAGAAGGAACTGAAACATTTTAGAATTTTGATTAGACAGAAGAATATACCTTTTTAATACTTATTAGTGCTCTATCAACAAAATAAGATTAAACCCATTAAACATAATTTTCATGAGTTATTTCTGCACCTGTATCAGTTTTTTCTAAGCAAAAGAGTTGAATATTAAGTGCATGAATATATTTCAGAATTTTTTTACTAGAGTAAAAATGTATAGTATGCATGAATTATTTGACAATTATTTCATAAGATTTCATTCCATATAAATATAATTGTCATAAAATTACAGCAAGGCTCGGAAAAATTTAAATAATACTTTTGTTTTCAGTTGTTTTTTCTTTAAGGATTTCCAAACTGCTTAATACGATAAAGAAATGTCATAATGTCACTTTTTGAAATTTTCTAGAATATGTTACATAACCATTTCATCCATTGTGAGACATTTAATAATTTTCTCATATTTTAGCTGAAATAAATAATAGCTTCACAATGTTGATGGAAAGATCTAGGATTATGCAACTAAGTATATTTATATTGTTCTGACAGATATTGATAGCCACATACAATGGAAGTTTGTGTGCTGTTTATATATGTCTAAGTTAGAGCTCTGTTTCCCTTTGAAGTTAATTTCACTGGCCCAGTTCATTAATGGTTTCCTCTAGTTCTTCTATGAACTTTTAATATTTTTTATTATAGAAATTATTTTAATATTTAAAAATTGAGAATTGTGGTGAGTAAGATTGCTCAGAGGGTACAGGCTTCTACTACCAACCTGAGGAATTGAGTTTGATTCCACATAGTGGAAAGAGAAAACTAATCTTGAAAGTTGTTTTTTAATCTCCACATATCACCACGTAAGGCCCACACACATGCCCCCACACAATGTTACTCCACACCAGCACAAACACATACTTAGTAAAATAAATAAAAACTAAGTATAACCTTTAAGTTTTCTATTATTGATTTCAATATCTTGTACTAAATATAATTTCAATTATTTAAAGCTTGTCCATTAACAGCTATAAAAGATATTCATTGTTAATGAGTGAGGAATAAAAATATTTTCAGTATGTTTTCAAATTTTTTAATATGAAACCTCTGTGCAGATGTGTACCTTAATGCATTCCTTTTATTTTAGACAACAAAGCAAAACATTTTACTAATAGTTAGCCTACCCTACTTATTAAAACTATTGCACAAAGATTGTTACATGGAGAGCTAAAACAGCATCTGTCCACTGGAAATAATTACAGAAATGTTTTGCCCATTGGCCTGAAATCAAACATATGTCTTAATATAACAATTAAACTATAAATTTTTTATTGCTGTGTTAATTATCACTAAATATTAATTACAGAGTTATGCACCTGGATTTTTAGCCTTATAGACATCTCAATTTGGGGAAGATTGGGAGTCCATAAACTTTTAACATTTCATGAATTTGATATTTTACTATTTTCTTATTTTGCAATCAACTCTGTTAATTTTCTTTTAGCTAAAATTTTCAAGATCAACACTGAAGAGAGGATAAGGTTACAAGTACCCATACTTAATCAATGATGGATGGGGGCAATTTAAATATGCTAAAGTAAAGAAATAATATTTTTTATTATACTAGTATTTGTTTTGTGATTTTTTTGAGACAGGGTTTCTGTGTGTGGCTTTGGAGCCTTTTCTGGAACTCACTCTGGAGCCCAGGCTGGCCTCAAACTCACAGAGATCTGCCTGCCTTCTAAGTACTGAGATTAAAGGCATGTGCCACCACCGCCAGGCTATACTGCTCTTTTATCTACCTTTTTGTGTAAAAGATTACAATAGAATTTAAAGATAGCCATGCTCTTTTACTATAAATTCCTCAAGTCATAATTATTATATATTTTTAAACAGAGTAATTGCTAATGCAGCAAGACTTCCTCACTTTGCTTCTTCTAATTGTATGTATATTGTTTTCATATGTGAAGAATATAATGTTTGTCTTGCATAAAATGACTTTGGGTTGAATTTAAGGCCCCATTACTGTAATATTCAAGAAAGAAGCATTTCTCTCTTTGTGAGTATTCAAATGTACACACTAGACAGTGGTCTAATTGTTACAGGGCCTTGGATAATGGAAATGATTTTACTAGGTGGATAGAATTGAGAGGTAATATTGAAAATGTTATTCAAATTCCTACAAGAATTTGAGAAATAAATATAAATACATAGCTTATCCTGTAATAAATTTAAATAGCAATGGTTCTCTATGACATTGAGTGTGTCTGGCACATTCTTCCATCAAAGCAGACCCTGTAGTATGATAGTCTATGACATCACCCTTATAGAATAAAAATAACCATGGAAATATTACCTTTTGTATTGTAATGATTCCTTCCTGTGTGTCTTTGTCAGCAGATATTTTGAAAATACCCAATCCATCACCATCCACTATTTTGTATTTCATTTCTGCATTAACTCCTATATCTGCATCAGCAGCTTTAATTCTGGCCACGACTGATGCCACAGGCAAAGATTCTGGAACATTATACTGGTAAGATCCTGTGAAATGTCAAAATAAACAATGAACAGAAACTTCTAATCACCTACTTATAAGAACTACTGATTTTTTCATAATATATTATTGTTCTGTTTTCCAAATAAGGAAAAGCTAAGACAACATAAAATGAATGATAAGTTTCCTGAAGCCTCAAGAAATTTGAGATTGATGTTTCAGCAATGACAAGTGACAGAAACAGATTACCGAAGGAATTCAGAGTAGATGTATATCTAGTAATGATAAATATGCTTCCTAAAGCAATGAAACTAAACTAATAATTAAAGTATAATTATTAAACTTATGATGCCATTTAGATATAATTAACCACCACAATAATATTAAACAACAAAACACCTCATGCTTCAAATGTCCAAAGGCATGACTAATATTTCTATAAGTTAACGCTGGAATTTACTTACTATCTTTTACAAAGAAACTTCCACAAAACTGGACAAGCAGCTGTGGGGATGGTAATATAAGTCTGTTTGTAAAATGTTAATATTATTTTAGAAAGAAGAGGTGAATTTGTGATTTCTATAGCCACGATTTTGGATATAACTGTGCAAATGAATAAGTAATATTATATTTAAAGGGCTGAAGAAAAGAAAAAGAGAAACGACCTATACAACCTTTATTTCACTGCTTTATTAATCCCTTTCACCCTTTTCCAGATAAAAAAGTATATTGAGGAGCTGATGTGGAAGTTGGTTGAGGAATATGATCCTTGACAATTTTCTTTTAATCATTTATTTTTCTTGCCCCTTGACCTTATTTCATACTCCATTAATTGTAAAGCCATGGTGCATTTGGAGTTTGGCATGTAAAAGGGACAGACTGTCTTTAAGAGGAATGTAGAAAAGTAAGGGTGCACTGTCATTTTGGACTGTAATTTTTGAACACTAAATACTACAATTTTATAATGATTGTGACATATCTGTATCATTTTCAATGGGTTCCTCACACACACAGATGTGTCCTTAGTAAAATTAAAATATTTCAAGAATACAGTAGTTAAATAATTTGTAGAGAAATGGAAAAAAAATGAAAAGTATTTGGGTTTCTTCACTTTAGAATCCTGGAAAGGCTCTGAGACTGGAAAACCTGGACTCCATGTGAGGAAAGTGGGAAAAGCACAGATCCTGAAAGCGACAATATCATCCCTTCACCAGCTTTAGAGAAAGCAGCCTTTTCACAAGGAATCTAAGATAACAATAGCATTAGTTTCTAAAACTCTTTCCATCTTCCCATGGTAAGCCAGAAAAACCACGAAGGGAAGGATTTGTGTGTGTGTGTGTGTGTGTGTGTGTGTGTGTGTGTGTGTGTGTGTGTGTTTAACTAAAAACGTGTCTTTTTATGTTTTCTGGAAGTACCATTATGATTCTTGTAAAATAAAACAAGTATTGAAATATACAAAATATCCAAACAATTAATTGATTGAAAAAAAGAATAAGACTTTGCACAGTAGCTCACAATGGTTGTTTTATATTGTTTATTTCTCTCTCAGTACAGAATTGAGTTTCTTGCTTCTACTGGACAACCATTTTAGAGATACTGCAGACAGACCTCCTAACCTGTGAGTTTTAAGACAATGGTGGTTTATGGACTCTGGAGAAAAGGAGCCCCTTTCTTTAAAGTGGTCAAGTTCAAGATGACCTTGTATTAGTTATGATCTGCCCATTTGCCCAAGCTCATTTAGGCAATGCAAAGTAAACACAGTGGGCCACAAACAAACAAAATGTGGAGGACTCTTTGGGAAGAAGGAGGTTCTGAGGAAGAGAGAAGGGAATAAGAGTTGGTGATGATGGAGAATATCATCAAGGTGAATTATATATGGGATGCAGTTATCAAAGAAAGAAAGGAGGGAGGGAGGGAAGGAAGGGAGAAAGAAAGAAGAAAAGAAAGAAATTTTCTTTAACATTTTAACGGAATCTCACATGTTACAAAGTAAGAACATAGGGCAAAATGATTTTGTAAACAAGACACAGCTATCTTGACAACACAGGTTTTTATTTTTATTTTTCTCCTTATTTCTGGATAAGCCAAAAAAAACACTTAGGACAGAAGCTCATCTGAGGGTATATTTCTGATGTTTTAGATTGCATTATTTTTAGACATTTAATTCTGCATGAGAGGAATATGGTATAACTGTGAAAGGAATGCTCAGTGTATATGATCCGCTCAAAAAGCTTAAAACGAACATATGATTATAGTATGATGTATCTCATTAATTTGTGAACTTAAAATGTTAATAGTTATAATGAAACTTACTTTAAACATAAAGCACTACTATTTTAAAACCTTAAAAGCAAAGCAAAACTTTTGTGTTTAGAACAGAGAAGTGATGTTTGTAATTGACAGCAACTGTAGAAACATAGTATGAATTAAAAAAAAAAAACCTTGGTACGTATAAATATACAATTATAATTAACACTTATACACAATTTAAAGTATAAATTCAAGGCAGATTGTGTTGTATTTAGAGAGAAATATGAAGATGTGATACCATCTCCCTATTAGCCTTGTTATGACATAGTCTGAGCTCAAATTAGGCCTTTGATAAAATACAAATTTGGGAGAAAGTCATCTGAGTCTTTTGCCTGCTCTTGGGACTCTTTTCCTACTACTGGGTTGCCTTGCCCAGTCTTAATATGAGGGTTTGTCCCTAGTCTGATTGTAACTTCACATGCCGTGTTTGATTGATATCCCTTAGAGGGCCTCCGTTTTCTACAAGGGAAAGGAGGAGGAGTGGATCTGCCGGAGAGGGGAGGTGGCAGGGGACAGACTAGGAGGAGAGGAAGGAGGCAAAACTGGGGTTGATGCAATATATTAGTGAAGAATAAATAAGAAAGAAAAGTAATATTTGAAAGGAATTGTAAAGATTGTAAAGAAGTTTCCTACAGGCAGTAATCACATTGAATAACTTACTTCGTGGAAAGCGAGGTGGGTTATCATTGACGTCAGTTAGGGTCACGGTAACTGAAGTGGTTCCAGATAGTCCGCCATTTTGACCAACCATATCCTTTGCCTGAATGACAAGCAAATACTGGTCTTTAGCCTCTCTATCCATGTTTGGAAGGGCAGTCTTGATGACTCCTGTAAGATTTTAAATCTCAGTAAATAGCACCATGATTCACTGCATTATAGTAGCAACACACATCTATAAAGGAGCAAAATGTCACTCTTCAGTTGTGGTCTTTTGACTTTTTTGGCCTGTTTTCGTTTTTTTGATCATAGATTAGAGACATTCACCTGCACATCATACTAAAAATATATATGTTTATGCTTAAGCAGTATAGTAAACAGCAGAGAAAATACTATAATATAGTCTTATCAGTATTTATTTGAGGAAATTATTCTTAGGTTTTGTTACCCTGATTAGTGCCTGTATGACATGGCTAAACTTCTACTCAGCTCTAATGTTGCATATCTCTTATGTCTGTAGACCTGAATTTTTTCTTCTGGTTATTTAACTTGCAGTATCTAAGATAGCTGTCAGAGGGACTGGCAGAGAACCTCTAACTTCATTATAACTTCCTCTGCATGTTAAATAGTACACCTTCAAGTGTTTGAGTAGTTAGCAGTTGCCATAGTGATAACTAGTAGAAACCACACAAGTAAAAAAGAGATGGCACTTCGAATTCTCAGAAAAGGAAGATGTGAACATTCTTCCCATTTGTCAGCCTATCCTTTCTCATTTCTTCTCTTCCATATCTTTTACCTCTTCACCTCAAAACAGTTGAGAAGTTGATTGGCCAGTTTAATCTGCTACCTTGCCTATACTTAGGCAAGTCAGCTACACAGTGACTTCCATGCCAGCTTGGCTGCAGAGTGAAACCTGGTATCTAAAAATCAAAACCACATGGCCAGGTGGAGGAAGTCTGCAGTCCCAGCATTTCAGAAGTAGGGAACAAATGGTCAGGTGCTCAAGGCAATCAGTCCTCAATGGAAGTGAGCAGCAGAACAGCCTGGATTACTCTGTCTCAGAAATCATCATCATCATCAACAAGAACAACATCCAAAACTCTCTTCTGCTGCTCAGCAGATGCTCAGTCTTAGTTTTGGTCACACAATGCAAAGTGGCAAAAAGATCATCGTGGAAGCAAGAGCTACTAAAAGTTCTGAACAAAAATAGTGAAATCGATAGCACTTTAAAAATGAACAAGGTAGTCTTCTTATTTCTAAAAATGAGAACACACAAGACAAAGGATATGGCAATTAATTTATCCTTTCTTTTTCTCCCACTTCAAATACTTATAATAATTCATTATCAAGTACCAAGACTCCAAGTTGAATGGCATTCGTACCTTATATAACCATATATTTATGCTTATTTCTACCACTGTCTCTCAAACATAAGCACACCTACAAATACACACATGCACACATCACATCAGCAACACATCTACATCTATACATTTGAGTAACACATACTCACATGGGCCAAATTTTATTTCTTGACATCACTTACTTTTTCTAAGCACTCTGTATAACTGGGAGCAACAGGTACTTGCATAGCATCACAAACTAACATTTTCGGTGGCTTTTTGCTGTCTGAATACTACTTCTTTATTTTTGAAATGTTACCGTAAATGAAAAAAGTGTTATATACTCAACAGTTTTATATGTGGAGTGTCTGATACAAAAGTATCCTTTGTGAACTGCAGTGTTTTTAGGAATATTTCTTGCTTCTTCATTATTTCTAACTCTATAGCAAAACAAGCATATGGGCTTCACTCAGCATAGCTATTTACAAACAGACTTTCTTGTGCTATAGATTCTTGGACTTAGGTATTTATGTCTTTTTCTTTTTTCTTGTTTTTAATTGTCATTAATAAGTATAGTGTGTTTTTTTAATTAATGACTGAAAATCTTGAAAATTTGGGGAATAAACACATTTCATCTTCATGAAAAAAGACTTATTTTACAAAAAATGTTCTAGTCATAGTTTAAAGCTTTTATTTCAATGCGTTCTTACATCTTTCTTCCGACATCAACGTGTGTTTGTTATCACCTTTGCAAAAGCCACCGAAAATGTTAGTTTGTGATGCTATGCAAGTACCTGTTGCTCCCAGTATGTTAGACAGACATTTAAGGTGTTAAGAAAGAAATGCTGGGAGGTAAATGTGGTTGTTCGGTGAATAAAGCACTCCTTTTGCAAGAGTGAAGACCAGCTTGAATGCTCAGAGCCTATGGATAAGTCCAGCAGGTGTGGTGGCCCTCATTAATCCTAGCTTTCTGAGGCAGAGCCAGTGGATCACTGGGGCAAGCTGACCAGCTACAATAATAGAAATAGCTGGCATGCTCCAAGATCAGTGAGAGACCTTCCTTAATAAATAAAATAGGGGGAGTTTGAGGAAGACTCCATTGTCAACCTGTCACCTCCACATGTCTTTATGAATACATACATGCTCACTGTGACATAGAAATGGTTTCACACACATGAGGAAATGCATAACGCACACACACACACACACACACACACACACACACACACACACATGCACACATGCACACACACACACACACACACACACACACACACACACACACATAAAAAGGAAAGGAATCTGATGCCTCTGAATTCCTAGATTTACTTAGTGACATTATTTTTGAAGGAATTATAACATCATTAGAATATAAGTCGGGATACCAAAGTTACCTACTTACTTTTCAAACCTCTAACTGTCTCTTTTTAAAAGATCTTACAAATAACATTTCATCACCACTAAAACAATCAAAAAGCTTACAAGTGAATGCAGGTGGCAGAAGCAAATTCCAAATCCCTTAGCTACTACACAGAAATGAAATAATAGGTAACACAAGTTTAGATACAAATACTTGGCAATATTTCATTTCTAGTTATTTAAATTTTGTTTGCTTTTAGTTACAAACTAACATTTCAAAAAGAATCCTTAGATCTTATATTTTCATTTTGTCAATAATTATATAGTCACAGGCTCATGCATGTACACACTTAGCAATTTTTAAATATAATCTTCTATAAACTGGCAGAAGGTAGTTTAATATAACTTAATCCCTATAATCTGTGGTAGCATTATGAAATTGAAAATTTTTCAGTAATCAATAATTTATGTCATATATGGTGAAAAAATAAATAGGCCATTAAGTATTGAGAAAATATTTAGCCTTCTTTTCAGCTTTCTATGCCTTCTTATTTTAAACTAATACATAAAATCTGAATTTTATGCTTGGTAGAATATTTTTATAACTAAGAAACTTTTATTTAGAATTCACATTCAGAGAAAGCCTTCTAATACACACACACACACACACACACACACACACACACACACACACACACACACACATGAGGCATGAATATATTTTGCTTAATTCAACAATTGTTTGTTATGTAGTCTGAGGGAAACCACTGATGATTTTCTAACGTGCCACGAACTATGATGGCTTTTTAAGACATATTCTGTTGGGAAGATTAATTTTGTACTGTGATCATGTGTAACAGGTAAGAATTTGTTTCCTGCAATCACTCACAGTGTAGGTAACTGCTTGGTGCTTGCAATTTTTCTGCACACTCTACTTTGATTTAACTGTCTTGGAAAATACATGCTCTTGGGGAACACAGGTATATTTATGTTGTGAATGGTCAACTCATTGGCATTTAACTTATTACAACTAAATCAGCATTTAAAATCATAAAAGTATGTGAGTAGATTAGTAATAAAATTTGCATCTCAGTGTTGAGATATCTGCTTTCTCAGGTGTTTCATTATTTGAGAAGACTTTCTTCAGGAAAGACAAAGAACCCGTGCTCACTTCCTTGGGAAACCGCTAATGTCATGACAACCTTTATTTTACATAGTCATTCTGACAGCTCCAAGAACCTAAAATAAATATTAGCCATATCCAGCTTCCTTGTGAATTTTGAGGAGTTAATAATACATGTGAGAGGTGAGGGCCATAAAGATTCTGGACACAAACCTTTGAAAAATTCGAAGAGCCCATCTTGGGAAGAATGCTGCTAGCATTAGCCAGGACTGTATGTGTAAATATAGTATATCAGAAAATCATGTCATCTGCCCCCTTCCTTTGTTTTTAATTGGTTTTCAAGTCAGCAACCTTGGTAGCTACTTCAAAGATAATAGATTTATGGAAATATACACCTGTGAATAAGGACAATATATGTGACTATGAACTGAATATGTACACGTGCTCTATACTCAGTTTTTGTCAACATACCTTAAAATGTTAAAATTACTACCAGCATGAGCTTCTTTGGTTTTATATAGATGAAAGTTATGTTACATAATGTTTAGAAACAGTGCACATCTAGGAAAGATCTCCAACACAATGCTTTGCTAGTTGTCTTAGTTAGGGTTTCTAGTGCTGCTACAAAACATCATGACCAAAAAGCAAAGAATTGGTTTGTTTGGCTTACACTTCAGCATTGCTGTTCATCACTGAAGGAAGTCAGGACTGGAACTCAAACAGGGCAGGATCCCGGAGGCAGGAGCTGATACAGAGGCCATGGAGGAGTGCTGCTTAATAGATTACTTCCCCTGGTCCACTCAGCCCACCGTCCTATAGAACCCAGGACTAGCAGCCCAAGGATGGCACCACCCATCAATGATGACTAAATGAGAAAATACCTTACAGCTGGATCTCACCCAGGCATTTCCTCAACTGAGGCTCTTTCCTTTCTGATGACTCTAGCTTGTGTCGAGTTGACACACAAAGCCAGTCAGTACACTAGTCAAGATCTAACTACATGTTTTAACACAGTATAATGAGATGCTGAGTTACAGGTGAGAATTAGACAGTACTCCATAGGTATTGAGATTGGGTAGCAAGAGTGGCCTCTGTAATCTCGGTCCTAATATCACATTCCTTCTTCGTAACAGTTGTCACTTTCTAAGCAGAATAAACCCAGTAACTCATTTGTGATGAAACCTAGAAACTGGTGAAAACCAAATGAATTTCAAGTAACTGAGGCTGTAGTAAGTCAGGAAATAATTAGGAAATAAAATTAGACATCAAGCAGAATGCAGAAAAGGGACACTCTTAGGAGTGTTTACCTGTGAGGCTTACACTGCCTCGGAAAATAAATGCACAGA